CATCCAAACCAGTTGTTATTTGTTTGTCTTTGCCGTAAGGAATTATTTAAAACTACAACTAAAACCTCATATTCAACATAAGTGAGTGTTGCCATTTTTATTTTTTGTTTGTTATTGTTCCTCTAACCGTTATTTTACGTCGAGAGTATTATTTATTTATTTCTCTCTGTCTCTCTCTATCTCTTTCTCTATGTTTTTTTTTTTTTTTTTTTACTTCTCAAATTTTTGATTTCTCCATAAACAATTTTTGTTTTATATCCTGCTTTACATTTCGCAAGGTGTGTGTATTTACATTATTTCCTTTTACTTATACATATATATATATTTTTTTTCTTATTGCTTCCAATTCTACGGTAAATGTGAATTTTCTTCATACCAATTTGCACACATACACACGCGGCGTATGCCTAACCATCCTGCTGCTGCCTCCTTAGTTAACCATTTCGGGTGGTTGGGGTACAGTTTTCTGCGTAGCAAATTGTCTTTCTATATATACATATCGTAGTTTTCAAACACACACATTTGTATATGCATACGACGTTTATATAACTATATATGCAATTGTGTTCGTGTGTCTCTATCTATTTTTACGTTAACACCTTATCGTTTCCTCCATTTTCTTGTCATTTAATTGTATTATATATGCATAAATTTTGTTATTTATCGTGATTCATAAGATATTTCTTATTACATAAATTGATTAATTGCAAGAATAATTTATATTGCGTTTTTAAAGAATTTTATGATTATAAAGGAATAATTTTGGAAATTTGGTAGATAATGGAAACAATATTTTGTTGGGGAAAAATTTAGTCGCAAAATTGAAAGCTCTTACTGTGCATACTAAAGGAGTTGTCTGCAATAAATTTCAATTCTCTTTATATATTCGAATTAAAAGGATGCTATTAAGTAAACAAGAAATATGACTTTTTATATATATACATATATGTCCTTATCGCTTAGATTTGCCATGATTTGCAGTGCAAAAAAAAAATAATTCATTAAAGTCTGTCTTGATGCTTATATATATACCTCTATATATATATATACACCTATATGGATATATATATATTTATAGATATACACATTTATCTATATACACCTAAATGCATATATATATATTTCTATATATACCTGTATGCATATATATACATATCTAAATAAATATTATTCATGTATTATCCAAATTGTGTCATATTTTTTGAAATCACGTTTACAACATTGAAACTATATATGTACGTAAAGTAGGTCTCAAATTTTTTCTTCCCTTCCTCGTCATGTTTGGCAACTTAGAAGAAACGAGTTCAGTAAGTCCAAGATTATCCAATAAAGCCGTTTAAACATGAAGCGAGCTTTTTAGTTTATATACAGCCGCCTATATATTGGGATGCTGAGTCCGTCACCTTCTTTAATTCAACAGAAGTAAATAAGAAGCACGGCTGCCAAGAATGTCGATCGTGTTAGGAGCTTTTATAACACAGGGAATGGGCGGGTGGACAAAGAAACAGACAGGCGATTATTACTTAGATTTTTACATATGGTGTCCATGATATGTACTTCCAGACATTACAAATGAAATTATAAAAACATTAATCTAAATTTCCTCTCATTTTCGCAATTAACATAAATCAAAATCAAATTACATTTTCTTAATCATACAAATTTTTACAAACGGAACTGTGTGATGGTTTAAAATCACATTGTAGTAGTTGTGTGGAACATTTCCAATTGGTTTCTCATTCACAATTTCTTTTCTCAATTCATCTTCGTTTTTGTGTGCTATTTTCGCCATTTTTTTTTTCTTTCATTGATAATTTAAATGATCAATGGATAATCATTCATATATCGGAAGGAAAATTTGCTACACGATAAATATTTTAATATTTTGAAATTTACAAACTTTGAACATTTTCCACAATTTCTTCACTTTTACTACCAAATCAGTAGGTTTATTTTAAAAGTCGAAATGGCACTGCTTGCATATATGCTTCATAACGATCCTGCCAGCAATAAATTAAGTAATTTTAGTGTGTCATTACATGAACTTTTAAAGTTTTTTATGATGGCATTGCCTATATTGCTGTTTTGATTATATACCTCTCAAAATTGAATTTATATGCAAAAATTTTGCGGATAAAGTTTCAATTGCTTAAAAGTCCATCCTAGTGACTGCAACAGCTTTAAAATACTCCAGTTTAAGTAGAAAAGGAGAGATACGACAAAGTTGACCATTAAATGCCTAATGCAAAATTGCGACCTAAGGCACCCCATAATCATGGAAGCCTTCAATACCCATTAAAGCTGTTATAGGGGCAAACTCTTTATCGACGCGAAGTCCGAATTTGGCAAAGTGAATTTATTCCTCACCTACTTTCTTCTTAAAAGTGGATTTTTTCACATTACAAAGGGTTACATTTCTCATACCGGAAGGTGCCTTACCAACGGCTACTCTGGACCAGTTACCATCGTAAAGTTTTAAAAATTCAAACTTTTTATGTTATCTAAAAGTTTATTTTTTAAGCAGGGCAAAAATTAATCTCTCACGGGATTTATTCTGTATATCCAAACATTGTTATGCCCTACTCCGCTTGTGGTACAAGGTATATTAAGTTTTTGCGGACATCCCCGGAAGGGCTTAGGACAGATTCATCTTTTATTATGCTGATCGATTCAGATCGATGTAAGCTTGTTTGTCCGCCTGTCCATTTGATGTTTGTTCAGGGATTTTTATGTTTAATTTACACCTTTTTAAGACAATTTAATGAGATGTGGCCCATGGATGAACGCTAGTCAGAATGGTTCATATTGGACCGCTTTATCAACCACATATTTTGAAAAACGCTTTATATGGAAAAGTGTAATTTTCAATATTTCATGGTGGAAATTTTTCATAATAGTAAATTGACCAAGAAATTTACTTTACCGAATTTGAACCACGTAGGTCTATTTTTGAGATAACACCAGTTATAAGGATTCTTATCGAATATGAACTCCAATGCCAAAAAGGACTAATTGTTAATGTTTTATGAAGAAAAGGTGCTTGTGATAGTAATTTTACATTAATATTAGGTGAACCAAATTTTAATCACATGGTTCTTTGCTTGAACAAACTTAACTTTAACTTTTAGTATCTTGTGATGAAAATTGGATGATAGTAACGATGATTAACGATTCGGCATAAGGTTAGCAAGCCCTTGTATTGAGAGAAAATCGAAATTCTAGCTTTTTTTATGACGGAAATTGAAAAATAAAAAAATATTTGGTAGAAAGTAATCAAAATTTGCTAAATTTAATTCACGTCATGTGACAATTCGGGCATCCGCTAATATGCAGGCTTTCATGAAAAGCATGTATGAGTTTTGCTCATTTTTAATTGTTTATGTATTATGACCAAAACTGCACCAAGCGCAGTGGTCTAAATTATGCAATCATTGGCCTTGCCCAATTATAATATTTTTACTTGTTGTGCAAAGACTTTGGTCGAAGAGTTGCAATCGCAAAGACTTTATATGATTTAGTATCTAATCGTCGTAAAAATGATCGCCGTTCATCCTTGTGCCAACTTGGGTCACTTTTCATTCAATGATTTCAAAGATTACAATTTATAGGTTGACGATTAGTCAGGCAGGTGGACGGCAACTTGTATATAATAACAAGTTGGGCTTATTATTAGTTGATTTCCAAATTGACGTGACGGGTACGGGTACTTCGAGAAGGATATATTTACATTATGCTCTGTTTACGCGTTAGTGCAACTGCCAAGTGTGGATGTTTACCACTAATTTATTATGTATTAATATCACCTAAAGAATGCACAAATTTCAGGCACCGTTTTTTATACCTTTCACCACCTGACTACTAGTGTTGAAGAGAACATGCACGCTTATGCTTGTGCTAGTAGAAATCTTCTAAACACATAAATCCGCAAATGGTAAACGCCTTGAATTACAATTCCATCGTAGCAATTAAGAAAAATATCCTCACCTTTGAACGATTTCTCATTTGTAGTAGGTATATATATAGTGGTAGGTATAGGTATATAATAGGTAAATATATATATACAGTAGTAAGTAGATATATATATAAATAGTAATAATTGTAGGTATATTTAATATATATATATATATATATATATATATATATATAGTACGTATATGATTGTAGTAGGTATAGGTATGTAATAGGTGTATATACATAGTAGTAAGAATTTACAGTAGTAGGTATATACATATATATACAGTAGTAGGTATTTATATATATATATATATATGTAGGTTTGCGTAATACATTTCACCATAAACACTATTATTAATATAAGTTATGTATGTCGAAACTTGGATCGCGATGTATCGTTCTTCAATCGATACATCACAGAGCAGAAGCTAGACAATTCGTAGGAAATTATTAAGAAATTTATTTATGAATAAGAGTTTCATTAACTGAAATGAATTTTATATTGAATCATACTTTACAAACACAAATGCTTGCAATCGTCGCATTATGTTGTAAGCAGAAAACAAATGTTCTCTTCAATGGTTTTGAGGTTATATAAAAAAAAAAATAAAAATAAAAGTATGTGTATGCTTATCCTGACAATTATAAAGTACTCCACAGACAGCTGTTGTAAGACAAACTATTCGTGATAATAGGTGCTTACAAACAAGCAGCTGCTCTCTAGCTAGTTTTTTTGTATCGCGTTGAATAGCTGAAGAAAATATGGTTTGACAAAAAGGGGAACAGCCGCGTTACCATTATTCTAATAACATAGGATATTGTTGTTGGGTTTTTTTTTTCCTCTCGTTTTTTCCTTTTGCTGTTAATAGTACATTTTGAATAATGAAAAAAATAAGAAAAAAAAGGGAGGACCAATAATGAAAAATTGCGAAAAAGAAAAAAAAAAAAAAAAAAAAAAAACTTGTCTATCCACGCACGCATCATCATCATCAATCCAAAAACACTGCAAAATATGTTTTTCTCATTTTTCTCTTTTCCATTTACAGAAAGTGTTAAAAACAGAAATTGCAAAAATCTGTAAATGATTAGTATTTTAGGAAACAATTACAACGTGACACAATAAAGTTCAGATATAAACGGAAACAAAAATGTCTGCTAACGATATACCTCGCATTATGGTATTTCGGCCTACGTGGGATGAATTCAAAAATTTCCCAAAATATGTAGCGTTTATGGAATCGAAAGGGGCGAATAAAGCTGGATTGGCAAAAGTTGTGCCACCGCCAGAGTGGATACCACGTAAGAGCGGCTACAATGATTTGGATGCATTAAATATAACAATACCGGCACCCATTTGTCAAGTGGTCACCGGTAAACAAGGTCTCTATCAACAAATTAATATACAAAAGAAACCATTGACGGTTAAGCAATTCTCGGAATTGGCTAATACCGAACGTTATCAGACCCCAAAGCATTTCGATTATGAAGATTTAGAAAGAAAATATTGGAAAAATATAACTTATGTAGCTCCGATTTACGGTGCTGACGTTAGTGGAAGTATAACAGATACTGATCAGGACGTAAGTTGTGTTTTTTTTTGTTTTTTTTTTTTTCGTATTTCTGGGACAGGAAAAGTAGGGAGGAAAACGTTGTATAATTTCTTGTTTTTTTTTTTTCATAGAGTTGGAATATTAATCGTTTGGGTACAATACTCGATTATGTTAACGAGGATTATGGGATACAGATCGATGGTGTTAACACTGCTTACTTATATTTCGGCATGTGGAAGACTACCTTCGCATGGCATACCGAAGATATGGATTTATATTCTATAAATTATTTGCACTTTGGTGCACCAAAAACTTGGTATTCGGTGCCACCAGAGCATGGTCGTAAATTAGAAAAAATTGCAAATCAGTATTTTCCGGCCAGTTATCAAAATTGTAACGCTTACTTGAGACATAAAATGACTCTAATTAGTCCACAAATACTCAAACAGCATGATGTACCGGTAAATAAGGTGAGTTAGATGCGAAAAGGGTTCACGTTATAGGAAGAGACGAAAAAAAAAATAAAAAAATAAATCGATATTTAACATATCTGAATTATAGATCACCCAAGAGGCGGGTGAAATTATGATAACTTTTCCGTTTGGTTATCATGCGGGTTTTAATCATGGTTTCAATTGTGCTGAATCAACAAATTTCGCAATGGAACGATGGATTGAATATGGCAAACGTGCCAGTCAATGCACATGCAGGTAGTTTAAGGTTGTGCTTTATCCATTTTATTCATTGGTATTAAAAACAATGCAAAACTATGCGATCCCTCTAGTAATGATATGGTGAAAATATCGATGGATACATTTGTTAAACGTTTTCAACCGGAACGCTATCAAGCCTGGCTTGCTGGTACTGATTACGGTCAACATCCTGAAGATCCACCTAACGCAATAGTGCCTGCCCCGTTGCCCTCACATTTGGACGTTATGTGTAATAAAAAGTATGCATTTCTTTTGAAAATTTTTTTTTTTTTTTTTTTTTTTTCATTTCTGGTCTTTTACTGGGAGAAGCTTTTATTAGAAATTTTGTTAACATTTATATTTGTTTTGTTGTTTATCCTCGCATACCTGTCAAACCCCTTAGTAATGGGGGTGCTGATGCTGATGTTCCAATGCATGTCATACAAAGAATGAAAAAACAATGTAATCCCACTAAAGTGAAATCGTTCAAAGAACGTAATCCCGATTTAGACTTGGATGAAATACAACAGAATCCCAATATACCCGATGATATTAAAGCCGTGCTTAAAGAAAGCGTATTAACTTTAGATGCCGGCGAGGAAGAGCCAGCCATAGTAGGCGATGAGAACGATACAAGTGAATTATGCACGAGCAATTTTAAATCAGAAAAGGAACTTTTAGCTTACATAGACGATGGCGCAGGTATGCATGGATTACTTTAGGATAGTTAAGCAGATCACATTTAGCACTATCTTTTCTCTTTCGCTCATATGCAGACGAAGAGGATGATGATGATTTTAAGAAACGACGAAATAAACGCAAATCGGACGCGGATTATGATGATGATTGGTTGGTTACGAAAAGACGTACGAATTCGAGGAATAGCACTGGTAAAGGACGCAGTCCTAGAGGCAAAGACAAATTAAAAGATGACCGTTCCATATCGCCAGCATCGTCAACCTCTTCGACATCAACTGCCAAAAGCGGTCGTCGAAGCGGTGGTGGTGGTGGTGGTGGTGGTGGCGGCAGCAGCAGCAGCAACGGCACCGGTAATCAAAACTCTAGCACAAAATTACCACGGAAAAATTCTACCAGACGGAAGAGATCAGAAGGTTCTCTACACCTTAATCATAGTAGTTGTAATTCGTTTAAAACAACAGCAAAATTAACATTAAATCAGCCAACATCTGGCGGCGTTAGTAATGGTGGTGGTGGTGGTGGTAGTGGAGGTGGAGGTGAGAGCTTTTAAAGCCTCTTCAATGGATTTATCTAACAAAATAAATGATTATATAAAATGATGCGTATAAATATTATTTATATACATTCACACACACACACACACACACACCTGGTTTTCAATCCTCTATTGTTCTATGTTTGTTTCCTTTCGCATTTACACACATCAAATCCATCCTTACATCCAAATGTCGACATCATTATAACAAAAAACCAAGCATTTATCCCATGTAAATATTTTCATAAAATTTATCTATCATCTAATCTACCTTTTTATATAATATATATTTTAACCTCTTCATCATAATATATCTTTCTATTTTAACATTATCATTATGTGTTTATTAAAATATTTCATTTTCCTAAGTCTAATTGTATGTGTCTTTGCAACCCCCATCCCCCCTAATAGGAATAGGAAAACTCATCAGAGATATAAATATTCTTTATCAATGAATGTTGTTGATCGATATATTTTCATATACTTCTTTCTGCCCCCCTCGTAAGAAAAAGAAAGAAAGATATCGGTATTTAATGATTACAGATCATGTCTTTAAAAGCTTTGGCAGAAAAACCGTCACTTTTAATCCTTAGCAGATACTAATCTAAGAGCCAATAAAGCCTTTGCTTAGTGCGACGTAATACGTTGCCATTTTCCAGCAAGAAGACCAACGGTCACAAACACGTTAACCTAATGACCTAAGCATAGTAAAAATACTCCATTGACCTTTCAAAAATTCTTTCCGAAAATTGCTTACATCAATGAACTTATTATGGACAAAATATTTTACAATTTTTACGAATCGTCTTGATATTTGGATAGCATCAAATATTCCATGACGAATAAAACTTTCTCGTTTGTCTTCTACATAAGCATATTCGCTATATACAGTAATAAATCTGGGCATCAAGCTTGAGCTTTTTAAAACCACTTTATGGTACAAAGGTACATTATGTAAGTGCGGATATATCCGAAACCCAGAAGGACTTGAGCTAGAAGCATTTCTCACTGACCAATTTAGAGGTGCTTTTCCAATTGTTCCGTCTTTTTTTTTCTTGCGGTCAACTTACAGATCATATTTTGAGGAGATCTCGTACTTGGAAGTGTTTCAACCCACGAACGAAATGGTTCGGATCGGACCATTTTTTCGACCGCTTCCCATATAATGCTTGATTTTGAAATGTTAGTTATTTGTGCAACTGTACTAAGCGAAGTGGGTTAAGACATTTAATGTGGGTGGGTCTTACCTCACTATAATATTTTTACTTTTTTCTTAATGATTTCAATTTTTATATAAATTTTTTTATAAATGGCATAGAGAATTCTTAAGTTCTATGCACTAACTATTAAGCGGACGTTTTCCATAACCTTCTTCTTGTCCCTGTAGGCGGAACATATATATATGCTGGTGAAATAGGCGCTCGAATTCCCGTGGGAACTAAACAAAAATTTTCATTCGATTGTTCGATTGCATGGCGTCTCACAGCATTATGTGGAAACCAAATAGATTTACAATGCTCTTCACATTTATATATGCAATAAAATAATACCTCCGGTAACGCTTTTCCTTGTTGGTTGAATCAAATCAAATGCGCCACTAGAAGGCATTGAGCCAAAAGTCGGCCTTGTCAGCAAAGTTGTTTCTATGACGAATAACGCCATCTTCTTTCAAAGGGCTTAAAGCGTGCATCTTGCATTAGGCCCTAATAACTGTAAACGGCAATAGGTTAGTAAGTAAGACCCCTAATTGGTTAATTGGAATCTCAATGACGCACAGCTGCAATATTCTCCTTCCTCCATGGTTCTGAGTTCTTTCAGGTAATTTGAGAACTGACGTACAACAATTTGAGTTCTTCCAAAAGATTTATAATTGCTTAATGAAATAAAAATGATTTGAAATTGATGTTAGAGCAATTGTTGGAGCGAGTGAAAATTTCAAGAAATTATCTCAATATATGAAGGTTTTGATGCGTGATGCGTAGACTTCACGGTGTATGGATAAGGTTTCGCTGATTGAAATATCAAAAGTACCTAAAATGAACAAAAGTAAAATTTCCGAAGAAATCCATATCTGTATCTCTTATCTGTATCTATCGGGCACAAACAACCGAAGAAATTTTGCCAACACTCGATTTTATAATTTTATTAATGATATTTTCAAATTTCTTGTTACATCCAGTTATTAATTTTCACTTTTATTATTTTTCTTTACTCGAATGTTCGTTTTCCTACAGCTGTTATATGAACACATTTCTCTACTATTATTAATGATGCATTTTAATTTTTTCTTTTTTTTTTTTTTAAAAAAGTATTAAAAACAAAACTTTAAAAAATTTATATTTTTATCTTTTCAAAAATTTTCAGACTCTGAAAGTAAAACTTATCCGGCGAATAATTACAGTTTCGCTGCTGTGATTAGCGAACATCCTTCATTGCATTTTATGCAACAACGGCGTAAATTTGAGGGTAAAATACCGAAACTGAATCAACAATCTCAACAGCAGCAGCAGCAGCAGCAGCAGCAGCAACCACAACAGCAGCAGCAAACACAAATGACCACAAAATCGACGGCGATTGAACCAATAACTTCCTCCACAACAACAACCTCCCCAACAACAAATCCAATAATATCCACTTCGACTACAACAGATGCTCGCGTGGTTGTTCAGGCAATCGTTCCCGCATCTTCTACAGCGCTATCATTAGCTGGGGCTTCGTCAGCAACAGCAACTTATACAAATTCTAGTCAAGATCAAAATCCTACGGAGCAGCATACAATAATTTACAGCAACAGCATGTTGCCGGCAGCTAACACTCTAAATGGTATTCCCAATCATCAGCCTCCTCCGCAGTATATAACAATGCAAGTGGCATCGAGTGATGCGCTAAGTCCTAGCAATCATAATACAAGTCCTCCGGCCACTGCCACAACCAATACTGACGGTACATTATTTCAATATAAATCCGAAATTATATGCGATAATCAAAGGTATCAGGCATCACAACCGCAAACACAAAACGTCCATAATGCTTTAATATCGGCGGGCAACAACGGCGGCTCTCAAGGTAAGCAGCTGCGAAAAGAGATAGAAATGCATTAAGATTGAAAAGAAAATTTATTTTCTATCTCGCTCAATGTGGGTTTTTTTTTTTTTTTTAATTTGGAATTTTGTTGTTGTAACCTCTCTGTTCTTTGTATACGAATATTGTAAAAATATTTGTTTTGTAAAATTATATTTACTAACTCATCCGTCATCTATCAGCTCTGTTAACGTTCTTATTTTTCATCATCAGTTAATAAACTAACTTTTACTTAAAAATGTTATTCATTTGTGTTTGGTTTGGTATGATTTTTTTATATATATATGTATATATATATATTTATATTTTTTTTTTTATATAAATTGCTTATTTTATTTTAACTTTTATTTTAAAACACATGCCTGTTCGTTTTATTTTACAAAATAAAATTAAAAAAAAATTAAAATAAAAAAAATTAAAAAAATAAAAATTGTTGGTTTTTCCCCCCTTTAACAAAACGGAGCTCAATCTCGAATCTCGTATATCTGTATACACAAAAACCCAACACTTCAAATATTTGAAAGTTCGTTCCTTCCCTCTTTCTTCCCTCGGCCACACCCCCACCCACTATTTCATAAACTTCATTCATCAATCATACATCAAATTGCTTCTATTTCATAATTTATGAAATAAATATTTCTGAATTGTTTTTATTCTCTCGATAAGAAATTTGTTCTTTGTTCTTTTTTGTTTTTTAGTTTTCCTTTTTTATATAATTTATTTACTTTTATTTTCTTGTTTAGTTAACTTCAATATTTAAAACAATAAAGAAAGAAAAACAAATTCAGCAACCACAACCACGACAGCGCAAGCAATGCAACAACACTGAAGAAGAAAAAAAGCCAGTCATTACTTACATAAATCTTACTGCAAAATAAAAAAAAAGGCAGAAAGTAAAAAAAAAAAAAAAAATCATAAAATGCACAAAATTATTACTATTATTATTCATAACAAAAACAAAAAACAGAGACCTCTTCCCAATCTACTACTACTACCCACCAATCATTATCAATTACTATTAGAAATTGATTATTCTTTTATATCAATCTAAAAGGATTTTTAGTAAATTCTTATACAGTATATCACCGAATCATTTCTTAGCTCAGTAGAAAAAAAGCATTAAAAAGTAGTTATTGAACCGATCAGCGATCACATGAGAAAATCGTGAAAGAAGAGAATTTATTCAGTTACTCCGAGCAAAGATGTAACTTTTTTTACTTACCATATTTGCCTTTGCCATTTGTACTAACGCGAAAGTCCATACCATACAGGGGAACTACTGCGCATACCGTTCTACTGAGTGGAATACTCTCTAAATTGCGAAAATGAAGACAGCATTCAGAACTCTAGCTGAAATGATTTTTTGCAGATCAAAAATACAAATGACTTGGTGGAAAGATTTTCACGGCATTGCCATCAATAAATCTTGGCTTTGCCTTTGACGATTCTACATTAGAGCCTATGAAAACTAAGCCTAAATTACATTATAGATGCTTCCGTTTTTATGCCATAGACGAAAATATTCGCTGAAAAACGGGTCGAAGTAGCTCGCATAAACATCGACACATAATTAATCCGCCATAAATTCATATTAGATGTTTGCAAAAATTTTGATCATTATTTTTTTTACGTTGAAAAAGCCATTTATTGTGTGGTATACACGTTAATGAAAATAGTTTCCATCATTTTCCACATTATTTTGCAATATATTTGATAACAAGGGCGACATCATGTCAAAAAAATGTTATATTGGCTTGGCAGCGATCCGCTCATCGACCTCTGTTCGCACTTCTTCAATTTGGAGGAATCGCATGCCAGCCAAGCCATACTGCATCGAACTGAAAAAGTTGTGACCAGGAGGTGCTATGTCTGGGGAGTATGTTGGGTGTGATCATCCACTTCCAATGCGAGCTGCAATAGTGTATTCTGGACAACTTTTGCTGCAAAAGTGGCCAAAAATTTGCATTTACGGGGAATTCTTGTCTCTATTCAAAACCGACAAATGGAATATGATGGAGGCTTCGGCATCAGATTTCTTTAAATCGTCCAATCGTCGTGAATTTGTAAGAAGCAGAATCTTGAGCGCTCCATAATTAGCAACACGCTGAATAAGTCAATAATATTGAACGGAAAACTGTTATTTCATGCAGAGGACGATCAAAACTATCGAAATCAACCGTTATGTGCACTGGTATTTCCCACTACTTTATCGGTTTTACCTGGACAAGTGGCTGATCACAATTTTTGCAAACATCTAATAGTTACTTGGAGCCATTTCGAGCTACGAATCGAAAGATCTTTGATCGATATATTAACTGGCATTCACGCAATTAATGAAAAGATTTTGCACGTGATGCGTATTCAAAAAATGTGCCTCAAAGTGAATAAATTTTTCTCTTTTTCGATTTTCGTTCTAAAAACTTTACGAATTCGTAAAAATCGAATTTTTTTCAAATGTTACTCGTGACTCAGTTAACAAATTGTGTGTAATTTTTGTAGTCGAAATTGGAACTGATCTTTTTCTTCCTTTTTTTTTTTTTATCAAAAATTGATTAAAACAAAATTCAAAAAATAAAATACTTAATTGTCATAATTTTGGTTGTTTCCACTTACCAACGGAGAAGCAAGTACTGCGTCTTAAACACTGCGTCTTACACACTTGTAATGCTCAACAAGATGATAAGAGTAATGAATACAAAGATTTTAGTTTTAGTTGTTTTATTGCGAAAATATCAGTTTTAATTTCTGCTTCATTAGTTTTGAATAAATGTTGAACTTATTTTATTCCATTTAATTATTAGTAGACGTAGTTGAAGAAATCAATTTGTATTTGTTATTTAAAAGTTTTTGGTTTCATTAAAAAACAGATTATTCAAGAAAAAAAAAAAAAAAAAAAACACTTAAATATGTATTTATTTTAATTTTTTTTTAATTTTTTTTTTTTTTTTTTTCTATCTGTCAAACCAACAACAACGAAAATTCGTTTTAGTTTTTCAAATTTTTTTTTTTTTTTTGTTTCAAATCTTTGTTTTTACAACAACAACAACAAAAATCTTTTTTACATTTTTAAAACACATGTATATTTAATTTAAACCACAACAAATTTTTGAAAATTAAGACAATGTGGTCACCACTATTAGTTCGTCCCCCTTACTGCTCACCACAACTTCAACCAATGCCGCTGTCAATGATACCAACACCATCAGTCACCTTGCAACAACCGGCACCGTGCTCCACGACAACAGCGACGGCAATGCCATTGTGCACATACATCACAACAACAACAACAACAATGATAGCGGAAGCCAACGGCAACCACAATATCACTACATTACCACCACCAGTGCCGCCGCCGCCAGCAACGGAAGCGGAAACTGCACCGATAACGGGCCGACTACGGCAACAACGACCATTGTTTATGAAAACTATGAAGAAGCCAGCGGTTCATCAAACGGAGGCAGTACCATCATCAAATTTGAAGGCAGCGAATATGAAGTAATTAAAAGTGAACCTATACTCGAACAAGAGCCACAGCATCAGCAACAACAACACCATCCGCAACAAGAAGACGTTCTTATTAAATATGAAGATGAAAGTTTTGAAGACGAGTGCTACGAGGAATTCCAATCTATTGTTGCCTCGCCGCAGTCTCAAGCCCAGTCTGCACAAATTGATCCGACACAAAACCAAGTAGATGAACAACAAGAACAACAACAATCGCAGACAATTACTTATAAAACTATAACGATGCATGACAACGATAACAATCAAACCGTTACTGAATCTATAGCGGTTCCCATTCCGCCTGCGGGGCCTATTAAACAAAAACGTAAACGTAAAACACGAACAGTTTCGGGGGATGAACAGGGAGAATATCTGGAAAAAATGTCTGTGCGAGGCCTTGATATTCAACGGTACGAACACATAATCGATGGTGTTTCCTATTGCTTGGTTTGTGCCAAAAATAATGTTTTCAAGACTTTTAAAAACAAATACAGCTTTCAACGACACGCTTACCTCTTTCACGAGGGGGTCAATCGTAAAATTTTCGCATGTCCAATATGCAATAAAGAATTTTCTAGACCAGACAAAATGAAAATGCATAAAAAAGATAAGCACGGCGATATTATGGCAGCTGCAACGGCGGCCAATGTCGACAAAATTGCAATCGAAAGCGTAGCCTTAACTCCGCCGTCGGCTAAGAAATCTCGCTCTACTGGCAACACTAAAACTCCCAGAACACGCAGACCACGCAATAATTTACCCAATTTAAAGAAGAATATCGTGAAAGAAAGCCCTGCCAAAGATGCTGCTACCCAAAAACGTTTAGCTCAAATTGATAGCGTGTTAGATGAAGTCCAAAATGCCGACTCGGACCATTCCACGGAAGGCAGTGGCCTCCAAATTCAAAGTTCGACTATACTGCAACCGGCTACAGTTCAGCATAGCATATCGGCTTCACAACAACAACAGCAGCCGCAGCATCATCCATTGCCTTCAATAGATTTCAACGGTATGATACTACCAGGAGGGGCTCAGTTGGCCATTGCTAATACACAACAGCACGCTAATAGCTTGCTGCAACAACCGCAACAGTCCAGTGTTATAACCACGCAAACGCCGCACCAAACAACAGTGGCTGCAGCTAATAGCAATGGTCCGACCACTACTACCTTAATCTATTCCAATCAAATTGACTTGCAGCAAGCATTACTGCAACAGCAGCTGCATGGCCAAAGCATTATGATACAGGATCAAGCTGGCAATTTAGTGCCATTGCCCTCGATACAAACAATAAATGCTAATGCGACCTTAGATGGCACGCAAACTATATATACTACTCAGGCACCTGCTAGACAACACATTCAGCTACAATCACAACCAGCTCAGGCAACTGGTACAACCACACTTCAGCAAGCTCAACAAACCTTAGTGACGCATCAGCCGCAAATTAAAGTTGAAAGTGCACCTCAGCCTTCCTCCAATTCCAATACCACTACTTCTAGTCATGCATCGGCTCAACATTACGAGCTTGAAAATGTAGCCTATCTATCATCGACCGCTGCTACACCGGCAGCTCCGTCATCCAGTAGCGATCCGCAACATATTACCGGCACATTACAAACTTATCAAATTCTTACGCCAGATGGCTTACAAAGCTATCAAACCACAGCTACTAAATTGGAACCAAATGAATTGGCTGAACTGTGCCCTACGTACAGCATGGGCACCAGTACGCCGCAGTATACATTTAGTAATCATTTAACAACTGCGGCTGATCCTTCGCTGCATCCCCAGCACCACCAACAACAGCAACAAACCCACCAAGCTTCAACGAATAGCCATCCAAGCTTACATCATCAAACATTAACCCATCATCAAGGTACGCAACAACACCATCAGCATCCACATCAGCCGCAACAACATCAACATCAGCCTCAACACCATCAATTGACTACATTGGCGGCGGCACCCTCCCATCATCATCCCCATCATCAATTTATGGAATTGAAAAATGATTTATTAATAAAAAGTGGTGACGCATATGCCTTGGATGCGGCGACTTCAATGTATCATTTGCCCTTCTCGCCTACGTCTATGATAAATGCAGTTAGTGACGTAAACGCAACGTCATTATTGGAAACCAAAGAAATTAGGTAACGACTACAACACTATTGCCTTCTTCTTCTGCATTTTAAGTACATAGATATGTATTTTTCTTGCCAGTACAATTGCGAATGCGTCGATATTTATATTAATTTAATTGTAATTTAATTGTTTTTGACGAGTAAAACAAGGCTGTAGATAGGCAGTATTACGGTAGATTAAAAAATTTCTTGAAACATGTTGCTCTGGTTGGAAAGGATTAATTTTTGATTTTATTAAATTTTCATGTATTTTTTTGTTGTTGTATTTAAATGAATATATATATATATATATTTAAATTTTATTTGTTATATAAGTTGGTACTTTCTTCTTTTTTTTTTTTTTTTTTTTTGTTTAATAAGATTTGCATCAACGAAAAATAATTAAATTAGTAAACAATGTTTGCATAAAAGCATGTTTTCATACGCCTTGATGTATCGAAACTTGTTGACAAGTAGTGCATATTTCTCTTCTAATAGAATTGTTTTGGGCACAAAAAAAAATTTCTATTATTAAATTTAACCTAGCAACATGTTTCTTAGCGGAATTTTTAAAAATAGTAATGTATACAAAGATTTGTATGCGAATTGAGTGCACAAGAAAACATTGTTTACGAAAACAATTATTTGTAAATTTGTAGTTGTGTGTGATCAAAAAGATATTATTGTTGCTACTACTACTACTACTACTACTACTACTCCTACTCTATTGCCACTGTTAATACTTTTACACAAGGAATTTGTGCTTACTCTGTTTTTTCCTACTACTAACTTTTTAACTCACCACACTCTTCCTAACACTTTATTAAACACTTGATGTTAAGTATCTCGAAAGTTTTTTTTTAAAATTAAGTTGAAAAGAGTTTATGATTTTTTTTTTTTTTTTTTTTTTTTTTTTTTGTAAAATTTTGTGCATTTTATTGATTTATGCGTTTATTTATTTGAGTTCCTTCGTTTATTTAGAATAAAATAACTTAAAAATAGTTATCAGCGTCACCTTTTTTTTTTATTAGCTTTTGTTTTTTTGTTATAATTTTAATATTAAAATTTGTTTTTTCTTTTTTTTCAAACATCTTTTTTTCTTCTCTTTTCATTTGAACACGAACGAAACAAATGCAAAAAAAAAAAAAAACAAAACAAAACAAAACAAAAAATTCACATATACCACAATATTCAACAACCAGTTATGATATCAACGAATCCGTGCTGTTAGCACTTTGAATTCTTCTTACTTTCAAATATTTTCTAAGCGGTTTTCTTCAATTTCAATTTCGTCATCTAAATGTTTGTTGTTATACTATTTAACAAAGCCAAGCATCATCCATCCAACCATCATTACATTACATCTAACATCCTGTGAGAGTATCTAACCTTAAAACTCCAAACTCAAACTCTCTTGAATTCTAGCTCATGAACTCATTTTGTTAACACCCGTTTCGGCTGCTGCAGTTAAAAATTGCATTTTTTTTTTTTTTTTTTTTTTTTTTTTTTTTTTTTTTTTTTTTTTTTGCTTTTTAACAATGAATGAGAAAAGAAATTTTTGTTTAAAACAAAAATTTTTTGATGAAAAGGTATGTGGATTTTTTATTTATATATTTTTATTATTATTCTTACTCTTTAATTCTAAATTAGTTCTTGGGATCATATTTTATTTTTTTTATTTATTTATTTATTTATTCATTTTTATTTTGAAAAATTTTTATATGATTTATAAACTATCTGGAGTTTTGATTAGCTTCCAATTTTTAACGAAGTATTGGAATTTTCCGGAAAAATAAGCGGTTTTTCCTGCAATAGATTTTTTTTAAATTTTATTGTTTCAAAAACTTCTGATGCTTTAAATTTTAATTAGAGATTTTTAATTTAAATTAATATCTTTTTTGAAGTTTGAGAAGAAAACGGGGAAAAATTTTGCGAAAATTTAAAAAAAAAAAAAAAAAACCTTTATATTGAAGTTTTTAATTTTTTTTGATGTTTTTACTTGTACAATATTTTTGTTTTATGTTTACTTATGATTTTTGTTTTTTTGTGACGTTAAAATCATCTTTCATCTATTTACTAACCATTAATATCGTTAATTTAATTTTTTTTTTTAATTTTTAATTTGAGATACAAAATTCATTTTAATCGAAAGAAAGAAATATAATTAATAAAAATTTTTTAATTTTTCTTTTCTTCGCCCTTTATTTTCATGTATTTATTCTCAACAATTTTGGTTTTAATTATGTGGATATGATTTGTGAAAAAAAAAACAACAACAACAACAAAACCTACTTCCTAACTACCATACACACCTTAAGGTTTTTTTAAAAGCTACAACAACAACAACAACCAAAACACCTACAATCCATACCTCAACAACAATGATTTTGTCAAGCCCTTAACAAGACCTTTTATTGCAACAACAACAACAACAACAACAACTACCACATCTTCATCATCGTCATCAACAACATCAATACAATACACTACTCAATTATCGTCATTGCCCTCAATAAAATCATTACAATATTTTACACAAATATCACCAACGCTACCACAACCACCACTACTACCGCCACCACCACCTCCACCACCACCACCACCATCATCACCACCGCCACCACCACCACCACTACCACCACCACCACCACCACCACCAACATCATCATCCTCATCGTCATCATCAGCGTCATTAGCGTTATCTGCGGCGAGTAAAACCTCATTAGAACAAAATCAATATGAAAGTAGTAGCAACAATAATGCTTCGAATATTATGCCATCGACACCGCAATCTCCAGTCTCACTGGCTATTACGAAAACCGAAGCTGATAAAATCTATTATGAAGAGGTAATAGCGAAACAAGAAAAGGCGGCGGCCCAAGCTCGACTATTCAATCAAAATCGCAAGTCTACAGCCTTTGGTTTTGTTGATCAGTTTACAGATTTTGTGATGAGTAATACATTCGGTTGTTCTGACAAGAAATCAAAAAGAAACAAAATTAAATTATAAAACCATTGAACCAAATACAATATAATAACTAACCTCTAAACTTCCTATTCCCAATTCCTTTACTACTTGAATAAAATAGCAGTATCTGCGAACATGTAACGAGCACCAGTAACAACAATAATAGCTTCAAAATTATACGTACACTGGCCAGAGATCTGAATAAGAGTGGTGGACGTACCAATGTCATCATCAACAATATTAAGAAATCCAATAGTCTGCCGTTAACGTCTACTGGACGCCCTATACAAATTTTGCTCACCCGCAAACTAACTGGTCCAGCGTTGACTGCTCCCAAAACTAAAACAAGTGTAGTCCCGAAATTAACAAACGCTGTTACAGCGACTGTTGTAAGCGCTCCCGTTAGCTCTCCTGCTGCAGAAACAGTTATCATTGGAGATGATGATGATGATGATGATGACGCTGATGCTGATGTCGATGCTGACGCTGGTGCTGATGCTGATGCTGCCGAAGAAGGCGAAAAGGCCAAGTCATGTAACTCACCAGTAGATATCTTACCGGCAAGTACTGCAGAAATTCTTAAACGCTATCCTATACCGAAGGGTACAGCTCTAACCGCGAAGTTTTGTGATGAATCTAGTCCGACTAATATGCCGACTACACTCATGTCGCCGCCTTTAACTTCGAATGGCGATGTTGAAAATACCTCCGCTTTAATGGAATATGTTGAAGAAGTTCTTGACGGTGACGATGACGACAATGCAACCCCTACTATGGTTGATATTAAGGACGACGTTGACATGCATGAATTTGTGGAGGAATCTAATGATCCAACGGATAACAACGAACTAATCGAGGAGGTGGAAGAAACTGATCAAGTTGAATACTTAACCTCAGAAGAAATTGAAGAAAATGATTTGATTGCTGCGGTAACATCAAATACCTCTCCTAATAACTCCAATACGCTAACGGCAGAACATTCAACCAGCAATACAATAACAACGCCACAGATTATACAAACTATACAACCAGATGGTACTATAGCGTGTTTTCAATTACCTCCTAATGCCATACTGTTATCGACGTCAGATGGTACTATATTAGCGAGCACAGCTCCGCATCCCAATAAATCTGATGAAGAACAATTTGCAGCGCTACAAGACTGGAATGAGCCTGGTATCAAACTTTTGCAGGTTAACAGCAATAGCAGTTCATTAGCGACGCCTACAGCAGCACTTGCTACTACTCATCCTTCCCAACAGCCTACAACAGTTATAGTGACAGCAGATGGCACCACTATACCGTTGCATACAACGCAAACCAATCATCACTTGACAGCGCAACTTGCTCAAAACTCCACACTAAATACTTCGACCCCCGTCGCGGTAATAGCAACTAATGAAGCGACATTAAAAGGACAAGTACTGGCGTAGGGTTTAGCTGGCGACCAATTAGGTCGACTTTTAAATAATTCCACAATTTTGCCAACAACATATTTTTTTTAAATCAAAAAAAAAAAAAAATTTCTTAAATCGCGTTGCGATAAAATTCGTTTATATTAAACATTTTGTACTCAATGCATGAAAGGAATAATTATACGTAGTTTGAAAATCTCTTGGAGGCCACGCTCCCCCCAAAAAAACTATTTTGAATTAAGCTTTCATAAACTTCTTTCACTAGCCTTTTCAACATGGAATTGTGAAAATCTGCAAAACCTTAATTTCCTTATACTATGTACAACTTGTTTGTTTTTTGTGCACATATATATCTTTAAATGACCTTAATTGGACCAGTACTATGACCATGATATCATTTTTATTTATTTACTTGTAACACAATAGCAATATAGAGGCGCGCCTTCACACTTGTTTCCTTTTCACGCAGGTACAATCAATTTAATCTGAATATCACCAATAAATGTTAGGGTTAAAATTGAAACATCTTTTCATAGTAGTCGAGCTTTTGAAACAAGTGTAGCAATATTTGTTTTCATCGTCTCACAACTTCTTCATAAATTTCGAAGTACACATATCACTTTCAATTTGTCTATCGTTGGTCCTGTCTAAACTTATTCGTTATTTGTATTCGCCATACGGAGTGGACTGGACTGTATTAGATCTTTGTATTCCCCATACGGAGTGGACTGGACTGTATTAGATCAGCGAAATGTTTGTAAAGGATATGTCATATAATGTGTGTGCATTGTGTGAATAGCGGAACCAATTTCGTCATTCGCCCGTTTATGAAAACCACGAACATTAACCCACAACTTTCGTTAAGATTCGTCGAAATTCCAGATGAAAGGTCAAAATAAATTTTGAAAATTCTCATCGGCATATCGAGAGTTCGAAAGTTAGCTAAATATAGGATCTAGGTTACCCTCAAAATTATTTAAAAATTTGAAAAGAAAGCATTTCTAGTAAATAGAACAGAATAAGAAAGTATTGGGCTCAGTTTATAACAAAATGTGTCTCCAAATTCAACTTGGCCATGTAAAATTGCCATTCACCAATATATAATTATAATCATTCTCTCTTTCTCTCTCTCTCTCTCTCTCTCTATCTCTCTCTCTCTATCTCTCTCTCTCTCTCTTTCTGTCTGCTCTGGGAGAGTACACTTCTGATAAAAGCGAATATACAACACTGTAGCTGTTAACCTTGCAAGATAAAATTTACATAACCAACTATGAGATGCAGTCACATATGTAAGCATGCCGAAGATATCTTCACATTTCCACCTATGAGATTCGGTCAACGTATACAGATATGTATGCATGTTTGGAGATATCTTTTTCACTTTTCCTGTTTTCGAATTTAACATAAGCATCCTTCTCTCTTGTTTACACTAGATTTGAAAGGAAATCCGTTTTTGTTGATAGGTGATTCTTGAGTCAATTTCCAAACTGGAGTAACTCTTGTGCTTTATTGATTGATCGTTTTTTCACTTAGACCCGGTCATCTACTATCCACAACTTTTATTGGAATTCTTTGTTTCGAAAGGCGATTTTCTTTCGCAAAAGAGAGCTGATCATTTTAATATTGAAAATTATATGCGACATTTTCAGTGATTGCAGGTAATTGCTACTGCGAAGATATTTGGGGCGTGTACCTTTTTATCTTTATTAAAATCAACTTCACGTAAATATTAGATCATCGTTTCTACTCTTGCTATATAGATGTTGGGGAAGCGTCGTTCTTCACTCGATCAATCATTGATCAAATCGATCAGACACGTGATCACATTTCATCTTACGACACCGCTGCAAACATATTTTGTTCATTGCTTACACGCCTCAACGGTGTAAAGGTAGCTACGAAGATCACTTGGTTTTGTTTTTCGCTCAGCGATTTCAAAAGTTCTACCATGAAGGCAATTATGATTTCATTAGAAGATGACAAAAGGTTTTCCCATCCAACTTGCAAGTTCGTTTAACATATCGCAAAAATGACAGTGAATTTTAGAGGAAAAAAAAAAAAAGCAAAGGAGAAAAGCGCTACGAACTTTTTCCTTAATCAGTTATTTATTAAGAAGGTTTATTTTTTCTTTTAAATATCTCGAATTTGAACTAAATGAACCTGAGAGTTTCTAAAATATAGAGGCACAGCTAAGGCAATCCACTCACTCAGTCAATTAGCAATGGAATTTGCTATACATATATATATATATATTGAATATATATATATATATATATATTGAATATAATTCGAGTCTACCCCTGGATTTTGAATCTCTCCCGCCCTTTAAGACAATAGAAAAATATATAAATGTATTCGCTTAAGCAGAAGAGGCATTAAAAAATGATTTCACGCATTACTAATAACATTGATCTGAATCTGTAAAATTACTTGACGTTCACCGAAGTAAATAAGATATTGTACGATTTTTACTTAATTCACTTAAAGTAGATTCGTTGCAACGCTTAGAAGCAAATGTAGCTTTTCGTCTTTTTAATCCGTATTTGTTTTTTTTTTTTTTTTTCTGGGAGAACTTTCATGCAATTTAAAAATCATTATTGGGTCAATCGTCGCTATTTAGAAATTTTGTCAAGGGTACGAAATGAAAATTGACAAGATCGTGGAAGATATATAAATTATTATATAAACTATTTAAAATTTAAGACTTCGTACATTAAGTCGTACATTACATGTAAAATTATTTAGATATGTTCATAATAATGATAAAGAAGAAAAACAAAATCTATATTAAATCATAAATTTTAAACAATTCAATTAAACAGTTTTATTTTTTTTATTTTTTTTTTTTTTAAATAAATGAACCACTTTTCTTATTTTTAATGATTTAATAAAAAGAAAATAATAAATAATTATAATTATAATAATTTTTGTATCATTTTCTTAATTTAAGTTTAATTAATTATAATATTATTTTACGACGATATGATTATTTCATTCAAATAATTTTTTTCTTAATTAAGCAAAACAGACAAACCACAGATAAATTTTAGTTTGAAGATTTTTAAAAAAGAAAACAAAAAATGCCATAATATATTTTTCTTTTTTTTTTTTCTCCTTTGTAAGATATTCATTTTTGTATTTATTTTTTATTATAAAATAATTTTTATTATTATGATTTTAGTATTTGAAAGCATCTACATATATACATACTTACAAAACATCTTAAACTACTATTTGCTAAGTGTTTACAGCATAAATTAAAGTATTTGATAAGTATTTGATTTATCAAATTTAAAATAAAAAAAAAAAAAAAAAAAAATGTTACAAAAACCAGACTATTATTTAAAATTTATTGATAATAATAATAAATAAAATAATGCAAATAATAATAATATATATATATATATATGTACATATATACGTATATATATATATGTATGTTTATGCTGAGACATTCATAAAAACATTATATGACAACATTAAAAATTAAAAATTCATTAATACAAAAACAAATTAGCGTGTATTTCATAAATGAAATTAAAAACTGAACAAAAAAAATTTTAATTAATAAAATAAAACAAAAAAATGAATGGATGCATTTTTTTTTCATATCAAGCAATTTCTTTCATATGATCAACAACCAAAAATTTCAATTTCTTAATGTTGTTTAAGGGGTTTGCGTCATATCCAAATTATTTTGCAAGCTTGTAAGCGATATCTGCATTTTTGCGACGGGAAGAATGTTTACCACAGATACTACATAAATGGACAGACGGACGGATATGCTTAGATGGATTCCAAATTTGAAACTGGCCAAGAGTTTGTACACTTTATACTATATATACGTTTTTGAAGCTTGCTTCTGCGAGTTTTCAGTGCACTATCATATTGAGTAGGCGTGAGAAATTCTTCCCATTTTTGTACAGGTACTACGCATGGACCATAAAATATGCGTTCAAATTTTTGTACATTTATCTGTTGTTATTTATGAGGAATGAGCAAAAAGCCAATTTCTAATTCCTTTTGAAAATCAAAAGCATTCCCAGTTTATCTAGCACTGTCGGTGTGCCCTTCGACTGACTTGGCCCATTTTCAAGACCAACCTGCGTGCATGGACTTTAAGTATTACTGCCAAATTTGAAGTTGATAATTTCATTTTTCCGGCCAGGGGAATGATTGCAATAGACATTGTACAGACGGAGAGACAACCAGACTGAATTCCTATATCTGGATACCATATTGGCGGGTTGTCAATGGCTTTTACGAACGTTTGCAGAAATTGGATGATGATCGAGTATCGAAGAAAAGGGTTTAGCATGCTAATGGAAGAAGCGCTAGGAGAGGACGAACTATGACTCAGCGGACGATCATATTACAGTGGGCGGTCAATAAACGTGCTTGGTACACGGACGAAGACCTGACTCATAATAGACGAACCTTTTTTATCTCTCTTCGTTTTGTTATTAATTTTACTGCATTTAAATTTTTGTAAGTCAGCTAAAGTAGACAGAGCTAGGACCATCTTTCCATGATAACTATAGAAACAAGGAGATTTGTTCATATTTGGATTACTACTTATACAAATTCAAGTGTTTTTTAATCTGCGACGCTTACACCGTACGACTAGCTTTGTCGTTAGCCGACTACTCCTTTAAATTCCCCTGAAATAATGTTATTGCAAGTTTTCTTATAGGTTTTGCTTGTTGCAGCGAATCTCACAAAAATGAAAGGAAAAAAAGGAAAACAATTTTCGCACATATTTTCGGATTCTATGACCAAAGAAAACCAAATCTGAATATCTGTAACATGTACTTAACAGGATTAAGTTAATTTTCAGTGAAGGAATATTCAATAGGCTAGAGCGTCGACCAGCAATTCAATGATCGTGAGTTTATGTCTCAAGTTCGGTTGAGTTTTTAATAAAGCCGAAAGCGTTAGATGCTAGTGCTTTTAAGACTTTAATCTTCGAATTTATTCTCTGACCAAATTTATAACAATATTAATAATAATAATAATAATAAATTTCTTTACTTTCCATTTTCGTATATCAGTGTACAGCGGGATCCAATAAAATTATTCTGACGGACTGATGGCAGGAAATTTTTGATATAAACAGCTTGGAAAATTCTTATCTTATAAATTCACTTTTTATATTTACTCCAATACCAGCCCCTTACTAGTTTTTTTAGATTCGTGCTCCTTGCTTTCGTCTTTTTCTTCTTCAACTTACTTCTTCCGCTTCTAAAAAGAAATATTATAAAAAGGAGCAGGAAGTAAAGAAAAGCTATACCGTTCTCTATTTCGTTGTTAACCCTTTGCACTCGAGGGCTCCGGAGCGGAGCCATTTAAAATTGGTCTTCAAACTCGAGGGCTCCGCTGCGGAGACATTGTAAATAATTTGCAGTTCTTAACACAAATCGTAAAAATTAGTATTCGGGTGTTTTGCTGTTGGTGACATATGACGAATACGAATGAAAAAAAATGTCGAGTGCAAAGGCTTAAATAAGGAATTTGTGTCTTCCGCGAATTTTAAAGCAATACTGACGTCTGAGACGTACCTAAGGAATAAGGAAGTTTGGAGATTAGTAAAAGTAAAAAATATTACATTCTTACTGCACATGTCGGCCATGGGTGACATGAATACATACGTACATAACTAATCAATATTTAACTTTCCTTGATTGCATGGATTAAATAAAATTGTCTTAACTTATATGCTACAAAAGATCGAAGAAAATTGAGACAAATAACGAAAATGCTCTTCCTCCTCTCTTCCTCTCTCTCTTTCATAGCTACAAGCTTTAGAAGTGTACTGAGCGAAAAGACAAGTGCGAACTGATCAATTCAATAAAAACATTAATAAAATAAGATTTTAACGTAAAGTTGCAAAAAGTTATCGTATCAGCGACTTTGGCAAAATATAAAGAGTAACAGCTTAAGAGAAAATTAGTCAAAACATTGTAATAAGAGATAAATAATAAAAAAAAAAAAATTTTGATTCTATTGTGTGTGTGTATATAGTTCATAGTAATTATCCGCCTTTTCATTCTTTAGTAAGCAGCTGCTACTATAAGAAGAACTCAGGTTTTATTTTTCATTTGTGTTTTATATACTTACTTATTACTTTTACTAATTAACTCATAAAAAAAAAAAAGCAAAAAAAAAAAACATAAATGGATCCAATGAAAGTGCAAGTGGCCGAAATAGAAAATCTATTTAAATTAGATCCCTATCTAAAGCCGTATGAACGTGAAATACGCAGAAGGTAAGTTCATATAAAAAATGATCAGCTGCTGGTAATGGAGAATTTGTAAAGTAATGAGCAAAAGACGAAAAGAATACTTTTTGTATCAATAAAATATAATTTTACAAATAAATTTTAATAATTCAAAATGAGGTCAATTGAAGGTTAGTTAAAGAAAAGATAACGTATGAATCTTTTTCTCTTATGAAAATTTTACGTTCGCCTTGCAGCAGAACCATTAGCCGATAATAGTGAAAACGAAAGCAGGAAGTAAGCATTTGGGCGGCAATACTTCTACTATCTGCTTATTATATGAGGGGTATATTTATTTTATCAAAACCTTTGCAACTCCCAGAAAAAGTTATCAGAGACCCCACAAACTACATATATTCTAGATCAGCATCAAATTCTAAATCGATTTAAGCATGTCCGTCTGTCTGTCCTTACAGTCTTTTGTAACTATTCCCCGGGCCGGAAAAATGAAATTATCGATTTCAAATTTATCAAAAATGTCGGAAACACTGGCACGCAGTTTGGCATTGAAAATGGGCGAAGTCGATCAAAGAATACGCCCGCAATACTAGATAAATTGAGGGCACATCTGTTTTGTAATTGTACAAAAATTTGATTGCATATTCTATGAGCGATGCTGCAGTGCCTGTATAAAAATGGGAAAAAGTTGACCACGCCTACCCAATATTAATGTATCAAAATTTAATTTTTTTCCCAATACTTTTATACGGCCCAGAAATAAGCTTCAAAAACCGCATAAAGTATGTAAATTCTTGACTAGCTTCAAATTTGAAATGCACTCAAACACGTCCGTCTGCTCGTCCGCCCAACTGTTGATCGTTTGCGGTAAATATTCTCTCGTTCGCAAAAATGGAAATATCACCTACAAATTTACGGTAGAATTTGGAAATGCCCTAAACTATTCAAAGACCACGCCTACAACGCCCACTCGCCTATACGACAAAAACCTTTATTTTGAAAATAGCATAAATCAGCCGCTCCCACTTTATATTGCAGAGCATGAAAATTTAGTTCTTTAACTTTTAAATCCTTTTAGGAATGGGCGATGGGTATAAAAGATTCGGTCACGGCCAATTATAATTTTCTTACTTGTTGTCTTTAAAGCTGATAATCATAAATGCGTATGAATAGAAGTATGACCGCAAATTTGCAAAAGAATTTGAAAATGACTCGAATCGGGCAAAAGACACACTACAGTGGCAAGAACTGTCAATATTCTCCATTGCTTTCCGTTGTTTTCGGCTTCTTACTGATAAAGTGCAACACATACAACAAATAAATTCCCAATTTTATTGTGAAAGTAGAAAAAATCAGCCGCGCCCAACCGTTATCATAAAATATGAAAATGTAGTTCTTTACCCGTTTTTTTAGGATCACAGCGATTGGAAAAAAAAGATTCGAATCCTCCTTTTATTTTATTTTTTATAAAGTCCTTTTTTTTATTCATTTTATTTTACGATTTTTTTCATTTAGACATGGCGCTCTCCAGGACTGGTTAAATAAAATCGATAAATTGGAAGGTGGCTTAGAGGAATTTTCTCAAGGTTACAAATATTACGGTTTACATTTCAAAGACGATAATTCAGTGGTGGCCCGCGAATGGGCACCCGGTGCCAAAGGACTCTATATGACTGGAGATTTCAGTAAGCCTACGTAATTATCCTTTTCGTTCAATTACATTAAGTTTTACATAACATTGGAACCGGACAAACCCATAAGATATTTATCTGAGGGTGGTCATCTTGTTGACATAAATTGTTTTTTTTTTTTTCTTAGAAATATATAGAGCCCAAACTTTATCGATATGTAAATTAATCTATCTAAGCTACTATGTCCTGTTAATTGTTTAGAAACGATTACCTATTAATTTTAATAACAATATTTATAAAAAAAAATTATTTCGATATCTGATACAGGTTGTTAGCTATAGCTCTTTGGTTATGTATGTATCCAATTATTAGGAGGGAGTCAATCATAAATAACTTGACGTCCCGCATCTCCAGACCCGTATCTTACAAACCAATTTCTAACTGCCCGAACAGTTATCAGTCCTTCACGGTATATGCTGCATATCTCTTCAGCTGTCGCCTTAGCGCTATTGTCTAGTTTAAATTCCTAAAGCACTTCGTGTCGAATGTCCACTTTTTGACTCCCTCCATTTTAGAGGTTAAGAAACGTAGTTTAACGCAGCTTGAATCACGTAAAACACTTGATAGAAGACTGACTGAATCCTCATCTATATAGTGAAAATAGAAAACCCGTGTATCTCGGTAACTTATAGTGGATAAATATGAACAACAGATTCTATCTGACTGCATCGAAAGTTACTTATGACTCGGCCTAATATTCAAAGTACATAGCATATGTATTTTAATTCCTGCGAATATCAAAATTTCCACAAAAAAGAAAAAACAAAGCCAAGTCTAGCGAGAACCGTACATTCATCAGGAAGATATGGAAATATAGCTCCCCGAGCTTCCGAATGTTTTCATCGTGCACCCTTTTACTTCTTCAGCGGCTATGAAAGAGAAATTTGTTTTAATTTTTGACATTCGAACATTCCTTGTCAAATTTTTCCTATCGAACTTGTACTTATTTTTTGTCTAAGCGTCTTTAGGTCTCTTAGAGATTGTTGAATGCAAAGTCAGTGCATCTTTTGCCCTTGTTCAACTTACAGATAATTGGCAATGGGAAGCGAATCCTTTTCAAAAATTAGAATTTGGTAAATGGGAATTAAAGTTACCACCAAACGCTGATGGCACTCCCGCTGTAAAACATTTAAGTGAAATTAAAATTATTGTCCGCAATGAAAAGGGGGAATTACTGGATCGGCTATCGCCGTGGGCTGTGTATGTCAAGCAACCGCCTAAGGAAGCCAATTTAGGCGTCAACTTCAAACAGCTTGTTTGGCATCCGGCTGATGAGGAAATATATACATTCAAGTATCCTAGTGCTAAACGACCTAAATCGTTACGCATCTATGAATGCCATGTGGGTATAGCGTCGCAAGAACCATGCATTGCAAGCTACGATCATTTCACGACTGAAGTAATACCTCGTATTAAAAGGCAAGGATATAACGCTATACAAGTAATGGCCGTTATGGAACATGCATACTACGCTAGTTTTGGATACCAAGTGACCAGTTTCTTCGCCGCGTCCAGTCGATTTGGTACACCCGAGCAGTTGAAACGCATGATCGATGTAGCTCATGAAAGCGGTTTATTTGTTTTGTTGGATGTGGTGCATTCTCATGCCAGCAAAAACGTTCAAGACGGTCTCAATCAATTCGATGGTACCAATAATTGTTATTTTCATGACGGGCCAAGGGGTGAGCACGCCTTATGGGACAGTCGATTATTCAACTATGTTGAATACGAGGTTTTACGATTTCTACTATCCAATTTAAGATGGTGGCGTGAAAACTATAACTTCGATGGTTACAGGTGGGAAATTAAAAACACTTCAATATCTATTCAATTCAATATTTTAAGAATCTTCTTAGATTTGACGGAGTAACTTCAATGATATATCATTCTCGAGGTATCGATCAAAGCTTCAGTGGTGATTATAACGAATATTTCGGTATGAATGTCGATACCGATGCTTTAAATTATTTGGCTCTCGCCAATTATATGTTGCATCTTCAAAATCCCCAATGCGTGACCATAGCAGAAGTAAGAATTGAAAATTAAAAATGAATGAATGAAACATTGATTGAAAAATGTTTTATTCTAAATTTCGGATTTAGGACGTTTCAGGTATGCCTACACTGTGTCGTCCCATATACGAAGGCGGTATAGGTTTCGATTATCGACTTGGTATGGCGATACCGGACAAATGGATCCAATTGCTCAAGGAATATAGTGACGATCAATGGAATATGGGTAATTTAGTTCATACCCTAACCAATCGGCGTTATCGCGAAAATACGGTAGCTTATGCTGAGTCTCACGATCAAGCCTTGGTAGGTGATAAAACCTTAGCATTTTGGTTAATGGATAAAGAAATGTATACCAACATGTCTGTTTTATCCGAATCGAATATAATTATTGATAGAGGATTGGCTTTGCATAAAATGATCCGTTTAATTACCCATAGCTTGGGCGGTGAAGCTTACTTGAATTTTATGGGCAATGAATTCGGTCATCCAGAATGGTTAGATTTTCCTCGACCGGGTAATAATGAGTCGTATCATTACGCTAGACGTCAATGGAACTTAGCGGATGACGATCTACTGAAATATCATTTCCTAGGTGAATTTGATCGGGCCATGAATGAATTAGAAGAACGCTTCGGTTGGTTACATTCCGATCCAGCCTACGTTAGCTGGAAGCATGAGAGTGATAAAGTGATTGCCTATGAAAGGGCTGGTCTAGTATTCGTTTTCAATTTTCATCCTACCAAGAGCTTTACAAATTATTGCGTAGGCACTAATTGGCCGGGTACCTACAAAGTGTCTTTAACCACTGACGATAAAATTTATGGCGGTTTCCAGCGCATCGATAAGAATTGTAAACATTTCACTAAATCTGAAACTTACGCAGGGCGTAGCAGTTATTTTGAAGTGTATATACCGTCTCGTACCGCTGCGATATACGAACATATTAGTAATTAAATTTAATTATAGGATAATAAATAATTAATAAATAGTAAAAAAAAAGGACAAGTAAGAATGAGTGGAATCCTTGATACTTACCGTTAAATCAATAGCAGCAATGTAATTTTTTTCTTGACCGTGAATTAGCCTCATTTCCAAATTCTCAATACATAATAAGGCGGAGCAGTTTTAAAGCTAATTCGACAATTGATAGCACGTGCTTAAAATCGGAGCAATGTGCTTAACAACTATGGGAAACACCAAGTTATATAAAAAGGTCATCCAAAAGCATCGAAGACGATCATAATGGCTGACGAATTGAAACAATAAATGAAGAACTTTGTCAATAAATTATAAGCTTTAGGATATTTTAATCTCAAAGATTTGCCAGTTTTGCATATGGGAGTAGATGACTCAAGCTATCCTATAAAAGGATGACAAAACTAGCCCTATCCAAACTTTGCCTTAAGAGGTGACGCCATCGTAACGACTCAAAAAAGTGTATTCTTGAAAACTTTTTTTGAAATAGACGGAAGAGTGGTAGGCTTATAAGATTCGAAGAGTATTCAAAGCGTACATTTAAGTAAAAAGATTATATTTGAGAAATACTAAAAAATGGCAAACCTGACGTCAATTTATGAGTGTAACTATCGGGGAGCTATATTAGCTTTGGAAACATAAAAACGATATGAAGGCTTTTTGCACCGATGGTACTCGATTGCTGGTCGAGTTAGACTTCTCCTTCGATTGCTTGTCATTGTAACGGTATCCCTGTGATATCATCAAAATTTTGCAAAGAAGATCAAAAAAATTGTGTAAATGAAAAATATATATATGAGACGTTATTATCCCTAAAGGGGACAATATAGCAATATAGATACGATCTCTTAATAACTAACAAGTAAGCTATATTCGGCGCGGGCCGATTTTCGTATACCCACCACTATGCTTTTTGCATTCCACTCTCCAACTTGTTTTATTTGATACCCATATCGCTGGTATTGCTAAGGAAAACTAATCCACCAGATCGTGGTGTCTACCGTATTCATTTTAGAATTAACCCATTTTTAGGCAGATAATATAGGAGGAGGAGGATAGTTTTAAACATTCTGTCTTGTTTGCCTTATGATAAGTAAGCATAAAGCCTCGGAAAAGTAAAAAAGTAATATGTGGGCGTGGTCGATTTTTTCCACTTCCTTAAACAGCAAAAACTTTCAATGTTTCTACCAAATTTTAAGTCGACATTTTTCCGACCAAGAGTGTGTCAACAACAAACACCTCGCAGACGGACCGACATGGGTAAATCAACTCAGAACTTCACGCTGAATTATAGATTATATAAACTTTCTAGGGTCTCTGAAGCACCCTTTGCCCTGCTACGTACATTGTGAAAAGAAACAAAATGAGTATGCCTCCCCATCCTTCAGTCGTGTGTATAAAAAAATCACCATCTACATGGAGAAGTGTGTAGAAAATTTTACTTTTTTTTCTGGTTTGACGAGTATTAGATAAAACTGCTTAGTTCTCGACCCAAGAAAATGCTTTCTTTCGTTAAGAGATAATCCGAAAATCCCGATAGGCGAAAATCTCCTTCGGATTTCTCATAGGGAGAAATGGAGATTGTTGACGAAAATGCTATGCTGGAACATCCAGAAAGACGCGTTTAAAGTCTGAAAGCGGGTTTTCTGCTACAATAAACTTCTCGATTGATTCGTAATTTCAGAATTATAAAGCCATACTTCCGTATTTATATATTTCTCCTTATTTGAGGGACCATATTATGCTAGCATCTGGCGCTATCAGACAGAAATACTTGCCTTACATTTTATGCGTAGTAAAATTGGCGGAGAAAACGGCAAAAAATGTACAAATTTGTAGCCGAACTCGTAATTGGTACTAAGAACCCCGATCCAAACATTTAATTTCTTGGCAGAAGTACTAACACCATTCGAATCTCTTTCAAGGTCATATTCTCTTTCAAATGCATTTAAGTGAATATAGAACGCTACTTAAAGACATCTATTACTATATTAAAAAAGTTTGGTATCATTAGACACGGATCAAATACGTTAAGCTGCGATTCATTTGACATTTTCATTTTTGAAAATAGGGTAAAATCGAATGCCACGCCTATAAAAATTGTATAAAACTATTGACATAGGCCGTCTTTACGGAGAAAAAAATTTTTTTTTATGTAACAAATTGTTTTTACGTATAATAAAGGTTTCAAACGACTTATTAAGCCAACAGGAATTTATTTCCTGAAAAATGTACAGTTGTGTTGTTTTTAAACTAGCGATCTCAGGTATAATAAAATAAAGCGATCCTTTAACGACATGAGTAAGAAATTGAAGCTTAATAGAAATTTGAATTCCGCGTAAATATGGATTTCTTTTAAAGTCCATCGGTCCGCGGCTAATATGTGAACATGAACGGCAAGAATCATAGAATCTTACATAAAATATATTTGAGAATATTCAATTTAAAAACATATTTATTTAATTTCTCCTTATTCTTTAGTATCAATACAATATTTTCTTTAATTATTAAATGTTTATAAAAAGAAAAAAAAAAGAAAAAAAAACTAATTTATAAATATAAGTTAAAGTATAAATAAATCCCTGCAATTTCGTTTTATAAACTATAGATATATATGTGTGTGTGTGTATGAGCAAAGCCAAATATTTTATGTTTTGTTTAAAACCCAGTTAAGCCAAACATTCAACTATTGCAGTGAAATGGTTAAAAGGAATAGTTAATTAGTTATGAGTTAAATAATTATGAATAAAAGAAAGATACAAGAATATTGAATAATAAAAGAAAAGATGAACAATTATTTCGTGTTTTTAAGGAAATTTGTTAAAAACAAGAATTAAAGTTAATAATTTAACGGCACTTGTGATTGAATTAACTGTTAACATTTTTTATTTCTATTTCACTCTCTTCTCAGTTCGATTCTTATATAAATTTGTGATTATTTAATAATTGAATGTTATTTTTTCTTCTTTTTTATTTCTGTTAGTTTTTTTTTTTTTTCTTCTTTTAGTTATAACTCTAACACACGAGTATACTTTTTCTTTTTTAATAGAAAATAAATTAAAAAAAAATAATAAAAGAAAATTATAAAGATAAATAAATCCCTGGCTATTGCTTATTTGGTCTATTGTAAAAGGGGCGGGGTTGGTGGGGGAGGTGTATGTATATATGTAAGGAATTTTTTTTTTTTTTTTTTTGGTTTATGGAGGGAAAATGGGCAATTATTGTGTATATATAAAATTTTTATATAATAAAACAATCATCACAATTTCTTTTTTTTTTTTATTTAAAATCTAGTTAAAATATTGTACTATTGCAGTGTATGGAGGATGAATATGTGGTTGTATGTGAGTGTGGGGGGATTATTTAATTTCTTTGTTTTTTCTTTTCTTGAAGATTTTTCAAATATTTTAAATTATTTTTGTCTTTTTTTTTTCTTGTATTTAAAATACAATTTCAGTTAATTCATCTAACAAGTTTTTTAAAAAATGTTCTCATTATATGTATGTGTGTGCGTTATTGTTGTAAACAGTTAAACAAAAGCCACACTTACTTATTAACTAATAAAATACAATTAACATGATAATGAAATTCAAAGGATCAAGAGTTTTTTAAATCAAAACTCAAAAGTTAAATTCCATCAGAATTTCGAAAAAAAAAATATGACCACTTTAGATAAATGAAAATATATTTTAGATTATAATTTTCAAAGCAAGAAAAAAAATATCACAACTAATTAATATTAATAACCAAAAGGCAAAAAAAAAAAAAAAAAAAAAATGAAATCACTTATCTAGGGTTCAACAATTTTGTAACTTTTCTTTGGTAAGCAATAATTTTTCATTAATTAAAAAAAAAAAAAAAATGCTTATGTGTTATTAATAATCAACAGTCAAACTTCACTGAATGTAACCTTCAATTGATTGATATTTGTCTAGTTGAAGCACATCTCACTCATAAGTCTGTAGTTACAAAAGCCCGTTTCATATTCGAGATTTATTAAAATATTAGATATAGAAATTTATAAAGAAAATTTTGAAAAGGACAACAAGACATAAATTCAGTTACGGCCAATGGTAATTTAATTTCAACAGGAAAACTTCTCTACCCCCAAATCAAATTTCTTGATTAAAATTGAATTCGATTTGAAAATCTTTTCATGTTTACCATTTGAATAAGAATAGAAAGCATAAAGAAGCAAAAAAGATGAGAGAAGACTGGCATAAAGCAGGGCTTGTAGAAGCTTGTTTAAAACTTAAAAAAAAAAAAAAACGAAAAAAAAGGATTGAATAAAATTAGTAACAAAATTTTGCATAAACTATTTACTCATGTTAATTGTACTTTCAAATGTTCCTATTTCGTTCTTGTTTCGCATTCTTTTTAAACTTAATCGCATATAAACTATTTCATAGTAAGAATATATTTAGTAAATATAGTTCTGTAACAATTGCGTAAAAAACAAAAAAAAAAAAAAAAAAAAGTAAATATTGAGAGGTAGGTGAGGTGGTGGTGGTGGAAATTTTGACTTGAAAAATGTTTAAAATTTTGTAAACCGGTCTATTGCATAAAATTGCAGGTTTTGTTTCTTTAAAAGTGACAAAAACTACGACGACTAAAACTAAACAGCGACCATAGCCGTGTAAGCAGCAAGTGTAAATATGCTGCGGTGCTATGCGACAAAATCCAAGGGACGATTAAAACCGCCCTTACGATTCATATACTGGCGATATTTACGCTTAAGGATTACATGTACTTCTCCGACATCGTTACCTTCAACTTTTTTATTTTTAGTCGTGTCGAACGTACAGAAACCCATAGTTTTTAACATTTCTATTTCTTCGGGTGATTTACCTTCTAAATCGGCTTCGCTAATTTTGGGACGTTCGACTCCCCGGGTACTGCCAGCGCCGCCACGTCGACGGGTTGATGTTGCAGCTGAGGTAGATGGATGGTCATTCGAGCGGGATCTATTTTATAGAGAATTGTTTAACATTAATTATTTTTAAAAAAATGCTTTTTTTTGGATAACACAGTAAGTAAGTGCTCAAATTCATCCTTTCCCTTGCACATGATTGCCAGTGAAATTGAATTATTGATTTTTTGCTTCATAAATTGAATTTATTTCTACACTAGAATTTCATTACAATGTAAAAGTTTTACATAAATTTGTAGAGGAGTTTCGCAAAATTTCCTCAAATCAACTTTTATGACATGTCTTCAATCAAAGCTGCCCGTAATTTCGTTGTTACGGTTGAGGGTTGAGCTTGATTTAATTTAAATACACTTTCGATTACTGAAATTTCCGTAGCTGTAGTGGCCATCCCCACAAAAGAAATCCAATCATTAACAACCATGCCGGCAGCCAAAACTTCGCTACCGCGATTTACTGTACCAGCTACCAATGGCACTTGCAACAACGACGACAACTCATCTTGATCCTGTATGCTTGTTTTAGGATGAACCATGCCTCCCTGGTTACTTAACACTGTATATGATCCCACTAGGGTGTTGTCGACTATTGTTTGACGAAATACTTCGACGTTAAGAATATCACCTATAATTTCTTCAGTTTCTTTGTCCAAATCTGGATGAACCAGGGCCACATAATCGTTGCAAGCTATGACATTACCCAAAGCCGATAGCCGTTCTTCTATCCGTTGAATTTTAACCGCATCCGGCAAACTATTACGCAGATGCTGCAACTCCACATCAGTTGTCGAGTTAGGTACTAGCAGACCGTTCTTATTGCCCACTGCTAGACGACCGATAATGCGACAACCTCCCACACTAGTATGCACAACAGGAATGGTTTCAGCTAATTCAGATTCAAAGACACTGTAGAATGCCTCCGAACCACCAATCGCTACTAAACAATATGAGTTAGTCAATTTGCTAAATACTCCAATATCATCGCTGTTTTCAAATTGCACGCGCAAAGCCATCGTTTCTTATTTAATGCAACAATTTACAATTTCCCCTATATGTTTTTTTTTTTTTAATCTTCAACTAATTTGTTTAAATTTTTTACTATTTCATTTCACGTGGTAATTGTCAGAACAAAAATGCGGTAAATCAAACAAAAGAATGGAATGAAGCAATGAAAGAGATAGCAAGACAACACAATTTCGCTTAATGGTGAAAATGGAAAAAGATTCCATAAGGCAACATAAAAAAGCAAATGCCGGCAACACTCAACATCAGTTCTATGTGTACAGTTAAAAAAAATATTTTATACTTATCATCTTTGGTTGTTAATACACTACACTTTATTATTCACCTAGAGCGGCGTCGACTACTGCGTTCTCCTCTATCGCGACTTCTCTCACGTTCTCTATCTCTTTCTCTTCTTAATGCGCGGCCGCTACTGCCACTAGCCGCCTCACGTTCTCGTTCGCGCTCTCTCTCTCTTTCCCTTTCACGTGACCGCCTTTCGCGGCGTTTTCTACGCTCTGAACGCTCTTTCTCGCGCCGTCTGTGTGAAGGAGAAGGACTGCGTCCCATTGTTTTGTTTACGTTTAAAACGATCTCTTTCTCAGCTAAATTTGCCGCCGTTTCACTAATCTTATAACCCGTTTTTCTTCTTTTCGTCTGCAATTGGAGATATTTTATAAATATCTATTATTTCTTAAAGAAATTGCAATTTTAATTACCCAGTTTTAATGCTGTGCCATGCGTAAAAATTTTGACACCGGCATTAAACTTTTCTGGAATTTAATTAACTTAAAAACTAAAATTAACAAAAAAATTAGCGTCTCAACCGACTTCTTCTTCTCTTTGATTCAGACTCTTTGCTTACTAAATATTTCCTCATTTTTCCCCCACATTCCATTGCATTCAATCATGGTGAATTCGAACAGCTGTTTAACTAAAGCAAGATAATTAGTGGAATAAGAACGCAGGGCTGCATTCTTATATAAAATAAAATTACAATTTTTCGAATTTGTATGATTCATGAATGATCGACAATGTCAATATTAATTTCAAATTAAATTCATTTATCTGTTTTCATGGCGAAAAGAAATTTATTAATATAAATGTAATCATTTTTATTCTTTGCTTTACGATAAAAATCTCCACGTA